ACTTCAAATTCAAAGAACACTGTGAACACAAATGAGTAAAAAATCAATGTCTACGTGACCTAACTTTCTAATCAACTCATAGCTCATTAAAAAGACAGATGAAATCAAGATACTTGCAGGCAGACTTTGTGCTTGTCATTAAACAACACGATAGTAAAATTCAGATTTTGTAAGAGTTAGAGACATAAACAAATCATCAAATAAAAAATGCAAATCCCATTAAAAAGAATATTTAAAACATGTAAAACTAGATGCTATCATGTTTCCTCCATTTAACTAATAACTCATTATTCTTAAAAAAAAAAAGAGCTAAAATCTTACTAATATTTATTATCATTGGTTACTTTTTTTTTCTCAGTTTCTCTTTGTTCGATACTATCAAATTTTTCTATTTAATCAAAAACTCATTATTCTTTAAAAAAAAAAACTAAAACATGCCTAAAATGAATTTTAGAATATTAGAAGACATATTATTTGAATAATTTATATAAAAATATAAAAATACATATTACCTTATATAGAAAAAAAATTATTAATACAAATCTATATCAAATCCATGACAATCCATAAGAATATTTTGTAAAAATCAATGATAATCCATAAGAATTTCTAAAATCTTCTAGATTTCTAAAATCCATAAACTTTACACAATCTATCAATGAATAAGGTTCCCTAAATATTTTTTTATAGGGCAACGCAAGACCAAGCAAAAATCAATTTAAAACACACACAAAAGTAGGAAACAACAAATTTTAATATAAAGACTTCAAAATATTAATTCATAAGACGAATCCTACAGAAGAGGGCAACCTAAGACCAAGTAAATTTATTTATAAAATATGAAATTTACAATATATTTTCTTTTCCTCAATCCACGCAAGAACAATAAAATGCATCCACGAAAAACCATAAACTCTAAATGAAAACTTATCTACGTTAAACACAAGGCTAATTAAGTACGAGATTAGAGAAAAAACAAAAACGAAATTCCAACTAAAAATAGCATAGAGCAAAGGTAAACCACAAATTTCAATTAGCAAACCTTAAAGAAGAGATAAACAAGTAAGTAAACAAGTTTTTCGAATCGC